CTAAAAATTTATGAAGAAGTTTGGAAGATCTCTTTGCCAAAAAAAAAAGAAGAAAAATAACAAGATGTACTTGATTAAGTAGTGGATAAATTACGGGTATAAAGACAGAACTTCTATAGCTAATCACATTAATGAGTATGTGGGAATTATTCAGCAAATGAAAGCCATGAACATAGAAATTGATGATGAGATCCTTGGGTTATATTTGTTTGGCTCATTACTAAATTCTTAAGAGACATTTCGTACATCAAACTACAATTACGTTCTCGATGGGAAGATGACCTTGACCTATGATAGAAATGAGATTTTCAATGAAGAGGTTAGAAGGAAGACTTAAAATTTTTCTTCCCGATCGATATGCTAGTTACTATAGAAAAAGGGAGGAGTAAAAGTAAGGGTTCAAAAAACCAAAGGCAAGAGCGAGAAGAAAGTCCAGAGGTAAGTTTGTGAATGTGGAGTGTTATCATTATGGTGATATGGGTCACATCAAGAAATATTATCAAAAATTAAAGAAAGACAATAAGAAGAACAAAACCAAACAGAATTAAAATGATAGTGATGAAGATCGAGTTAATGCAATCGATGAGTTTTTGATTGCATATGATAATAATGAAGTTAACATAGCATTAGATTAGCATAGTTAGGTGGTTGATAGTGGAGCTTCGGTACATGCTACATCTCATATGGAGTTTTTTAGCTCATACATGCTTGGTGATTTTAGAGCGATAAGGGTTGGTAATAATGAGTCGTTCAAAATGATTAGTATTGGAGATGTGTGCTTAGAGACTCATGCTAGAGTAAAACTAGTTTTAAAAAATATGAAGCATGTTCTCGACTTTTCCTTGAATTTAATCTCGGTTAGAAGACTTGATGATGAAGGATTTTGTAACACATTAAAAAATGATATGTGGAAGCTATCAAAGGGTTCTATAGTAATGAAAAAAAGAGAGAAGTGTTCTTCTTTATATGTCATGCATCGCTAAATTATTGAATGATGATATGAATGTTGTTAGAGATAAGGAAGCTACTGAACTATGACACAAGAGATTGGCTTATATGATCGAGAAAGACATGATAGTATAGAAAAAGAAAAAGTTATTATTTGATATGCGGGATAATCACTTGAAGAAGTGTCCGTAGTGTTTGGCTGAAAAACGAATAAAGTTTCTTTAGGAGCCATCCACTCGTAAGGAAATAGAATCCTATTGAATTAATACATTCGGATGTATGTGGTCCTATGAAGAAAATGTCAAAAGGAGGTTCTTATTACTTTCGACATTCATAGATGATTACTCGAGGAAGGTGTGATTTTATACACTCGGGATCGAAAGATCAAGTTCTTGGTGTTTCTAAACGAGTTTCAAGCTTTGGTAAAAAGACAAACAAGGATAAAGTTTAAGTGTATCCGAATTGATAATGGTAGTGAATATTCGGGCTCTTTTGATAAGCACTTACGGGACTCAAGGCATTAAGTATCAAAAGACTCCACCAAAGACACCTCGGTTGAACGGATTGGTCGAAAGGATGAATAAGACTCTAGTTAAGAGAGTCGGATGCTTGATTTCTCATGCGCGACTACTTAAGCCATTTTGGGGTGAGGCATTTAATACTCTTTTTTATTTAATAAATCTTTCACCTTTTATTCCTTTGTTATTTGATGTTCTAGACAGGATTTAGAGTGGCAAAGATGTATCCTATGATCACTTAAAAGTTTTTAGGTGTAAGGCATTCGTGCACATTCCTAAAGATGAGAGATCTAAGCTTGATGTGAAGACAAGGTAATTATTTTATTAGGGTATGGTCAAGATGAGTTTGACTACAAGTTGTTTTAGGGTATGGTGAATATTCGGACTCTTTTTATAAGCACTATAAGACTCAAGGCATCAAGCATCAAAAGACTCCACCAAAGATACCTCGGTTGAACGGATTGGTTGAAAGGATGAATAAGACTCTAGTTGAGAGAGTCGACTGCTTGATTTCTCACGTGCGACTACCTAAGCCATTTTGGGGTGAGGCATTTAATACTTTTGTTTATTTAATAAATCTTTCACCTTGTATGCCTTTGTTATTTGATGTTCTAGACGGGATTTGGAGTGGCAAAGATGTATCCTATGATCACTTAAAATTTTTTAGGTTAAGGGCATTCATGCACATTCATAAGATGAGAGATCTAAGCTTGATGTGAAGATAAGATAGTGTATCTTATTAGGGTATGGTCAAGATGAGTTTAGCTACAAGTTTGTATAATCCAGATTGAAAAGAAGATAGTCAAAAGTCGTAATATTATATTTCTAGAGGATGAGATCATACAAGATATTAAAAAGACGAACGAGACAGTGATTGACTCTTATGATCATCCGGTAGATATAAAGCCGATTGAGCCGGTTTATTCTACACCAATAGCTGAGCTAATTGAACATGATGATTCACAAGCCGAGTAGACATTATAGGATGATAATGATCCGCAAGACGCCAATCAAATTCATGATGATGCATTGAGTGATGAATGTGATCGGATAGTTAAACAGGATGATGAAAATGTTCCATCAAAAACCTCATTCGGACGATCTAACAAAGATCGAAGACCTTATAATAGGTACTCTACCGATGATTATGTGTTGTTAATCGACAATGGAGAACTTGAATCATGCAAAGAAGTAATAGAAGATGAGAACAAAAAGAAGTGGATTGAAGTCATGAACAATAAGATGAATTCTTTGCATGAGAACAATACCTTTGAATTGGTAAGACTACCCAATGGTAGAAGAGCTTTGAAAAATAAATGGGTGTTTAAAATCAAGCATGAAGAACACACCACACATCCTAGATTCAAAGCAAGATTAATGGTAAAGGGTTTCCGTTAGAAAAGAGGTATTTATTTTAAAGAGATATTTTCTCTAGTGGTGAAGATGTCATCTATTTGAGTTGTACTTGGCCAAGTAGCAAGTATTGACTTGAAAGTTGAATAGATAGATGTCAAGATAGCGTTTTTACATGGTAACTTAGAAGAGGAAATCTCCATGGAGCGACCGGAGGGGTTTTAGTTGAAAGGCAAAGAAAACCTCGTGTATAAATTGAAGAAAAGTCTTTATGGTTTAAAGCAAGCTCCTGGCGAGTGGTACAACAAGTTTGACTCGAGTTATGAAGGAGCAAGGCTATACGAAAATCATATCAAATCATTGTGTTTATGTGCAAAAAAATTTTTATGATGACTTTATAATATTGTTGCTTTATGTAGATGATATCTTAATTGTTGGTAGGAATGCTTCAAGGATAGATGACTTGAAGAAGCATTCGAGCAAGTTCTTTAACATGAAAAACTTAGGGCCGGTAAAGTAAATTTGGACATACGCATTGAACGTGACGGAGCAACTAAGAGATTGTACTTATGTCTTATCTTAAGAGAAGTACATTGATAAGGTACTTCAGAGATTCAAGATGGACAAAACTAAAGTGGTTAGCTCTCCTCTTGCAACTTACTTTAAGCTAAGCATCCAACAAAGTCCTTCTACGGATGAGGAGAAGGAGGAGATGCAAAGAGTTCCATATGCTTCAGCTATTAGGAGTTTGATGTATGTTATGGTATGTACAAAGCCTGATATTGCTCATGTTGTTGGGGTAGTTAGCAGATTTTTGTCAAATCCAAAAAAAGAGCATTTAAATGTAGTAAAGTGGATAATGCGATACCTCGGAGATACAAGCAATTTGAAACTATCTTATGGTGCTAAAAAATCGGACTTGATTGGTTATACGGATTCGGACATGGCATGAGACATTGATTTCGCAAGTCAACATCTAAATATTTGATTACTTTTATAGAGGGAGTTGTGGCTTGGCAATCTAGACTCGTAAAAGTGTGTTACTCTTTCCACCACCGAGGTAGAATTCATTGTAGCAACAAAAGCTTATAAAGAGTTTCCATGGATGAAGAAATATATTCGGGAACTCGGTTTCAAGCAAGATAGGTATGTGTTGTTTTGTGATAGTCGAGTGCTATCCACCTTGGTAAAAATTCTACATTTCATGCTAGATCAAAGCATATTGATGTTCGATACCATTGGATTAGAGATGTTTTGAATTCCAAGTTGTTAGAACTTCAAAAAATCCATACCGATGATAATGGTTCCGATATATTGACTAAAGCATTACCAAGGGAGAAACTTGAGGCTTGTCATTCGGTCTTCGGGATGGTGAATACCTCCACCTAGTCATGAGGGAGAGATTTGTTGGGTTTCCCTCCTAGTTGGAGGATGGCCCAAAGGTTTGCCTACATGAGCTCAATCTTGAAGCCCATATAGAAGAGGAATTTTTTAATCATTCAAAGGGTAATTTTGGTATTTTTAAATAAATCATATCTTATTTTTTACTCCGAAATCAGATTAGGGAAGAAAGTAAGAGAGAAAAGAAGAAAAAGAGAGAGAGCCCGCAACTTTAGAGAGAAAGAGGAAAAAAAGCTTTAACACAAACTAATCGAGGCTAAAATTGAGTTTCGGATTTGTTAATCGTTGGATTGAGCTCAAATTTGGTGGGCACGTTCAAAAGTGACGGACGCACATTTTGAACGGTGAAGTTCTGGTTTTGAGTTCTAGAGAGTGAGATATGATGCTCACAACGGTGCTATTTTGTGATGAAATGCGAACTTAGTTTCTTCTCTTTTCTTTGTGTATCATCTATTGATGTGGTTTGCCAAGGGTGTATAACCTTTGATGCTTGTGGCTGATGTATTCCTCTAGTTTAATCTAGAGATGACTCCTTGTATTGCCTATTATTATTGATAGTGAAAGTTATTGTGGACTCCGATCTCGTGGTTTTTCCCTTCTCAAATTGATAAGGTTTTTCATGTAAAATTTATGTGTTCTTTGTGTGATTGGTATTTTATTTTTCAGATTATTAGTTACTTATTTTAGTTTGGGTATTTGATTGTAACCTATATTTGATTATTCAAGCAAGATCAAAGAGGTTCTGTTATGTTCTTTGTATTTTTTTGTCCAACACTATAGAGTTGGTGTGTACTAGTCGCCAAGTATGCTTCAAAGACAGTAGCATACAAAACATTCTCATCTTTGAAACCATACAAATTGAACATTGCAGTAGCTTCAAGAGATCGGTGCCTCGGTATTGCAGTGGAGGTTGCTCTGGCTATAATTCAAAATTAATTTCGATCATCGTGTGTGCTGCAGGACCTAATACATACAGCCAATAGTTGATACAAATACTTGAATAAATAATTGTTGCTCATTTTTATTTCCATCCTTTTAAGATCAACTGCACTTTCAATGGCATAAATTATAAAGACTTTTTCAAATAGATAACTATGGTAAAGATACATTCACAACCACAATTAATGCTGACAACATTATAGAGCAGAAAATAACATGAAGGGATATATATATATATTTAACCGGGACATGAACGAAATTCAATCCACATTCATTATTTAAAAAATTGCGAAGTTATTAGACTTGGATCGATTGATCTAATCATTTGACATACATATTGATATAATATCAAAATTAATTTGTGTAATTTTTTTTTCCATTGGATATTTTCAAATAATAGGATCTTCGTCTATCATAAAAACGAATTTCCTTTCGTCAAAAAAATTTACTGTCTAATCAATGGAGACTCAATTGAGAAAATCATTTATTTGGAAACTCAACAAAGACAGAGGAGATAATTAGATCCTTTTTCATTTTTTAGTTGCCCCCAGATCGAGAAGTTGGGTTGGCAACTTGTTGGGAATGGAGAGAAAGCACGAGGCCCTGAGGAAAAAAGCAGAACAAAAAAAGACCAACTTTCTTTAGCAACCTGCTTGTAGGATTGCATTTGTCGGTTCCTTATTTTTTACTGGAGTCATAGAGTCCTTCAAACTTGCACACATACCATACAAGCAAAGAAACTTCAGCATGGGCTTCCAAGAAAGAGGTTTTGTTCCATCCTCTCCGCCATGTTTTTCGTTTTCTTCGCTTCTTGATTGCGAATTTCATCGAATCCTCTTCAATCTCCTGAAAGCCTGAAATTGATATCTTTGAGTGGTTCCTCGACTCTTCCGAGGCTTGAAGAACACAACCTTTTGGAAGGTAAATGTTTTCATTTATTTATTTTTACATGAATTTGGTTCTTTGTGAGGGATTTACCTCGTCTTTTTTTTTTTTTTTTAGTGTAGTAATTTATCATTCCAATTAATTAGCTGCTACTCAAGTGATTCTGTCCATAAGATAATTGTTATGCATGACTGTTAGATTCGATATAAAAATTTATTGGAGGGGTTCCTCAACTAAAGCATGGCTTGAAGGACACAACAACATATCTTGGCAGGTGCTTTTTTTCTTTTTTTTTCAATATGAATTTGCTTAATCATTCCAACGAATTAGCAGATCTGATGGGTTTATTTTGTTAAGATATGAAAATTGACGTGATTGAACCCAAAAAGATCTATATAATAATGAGTTAGAAGTATAGATCCGTTAGGATTTTTCTTTTTATTATAACCCTAATTATCTAAAATATAAATAATATCACTTGTATTTAAAGTTATTATTTGAAAAAATTTTAATAAGAAATTCTAATATAGTTATAGAATAGACATAATTAATTAACCACGTAAATCTCTATGTTGTGATTGTTCATATCTTTCTATTTAATCGATACATTATAAAAGAAAAAACAAGTTAGGAAACAAATTAAAATTGTGATTGCAAGAGATAAGGAAATACAAAGCCTTAAATACCAGCTCAGCAAGAAAGACGATCATCGAGTCTATATATATTGATTTAAAAGTTGCTAAAAATAAGAGAGATCATAATCAGCAACAACTGAGGCTTGATGGTACCAATGAGTCTATGCTTATTAATTTAGAAAAAGCATTTGCAACTGCTGAAAATGGCTACTTCAATGCAGTTGGGCCCGCGGAATTAAAGGAAGTTAAAGTAAAGTACGGAGAAGCGGATATTCTTGGAGCTGTTATTACCCCATTAGATCATTAATTTTTAATTTTTAACTTTCCTCAACCTTCCTATTAATATAATTCTTGATATCCTTAATTTTTCTATTTATTTATTTGTGTTCTTTTTAATTAACTACCAATATTATTAAAATGGCTAATTGATTATAAAGTATTATGAATTTTTTGTCTTTTTCATTTTAATTTGGATTTTTCAAACCTTTTTTTAGGATCCATAGTTAAATTATTTTGTCCCATTAACAAATTTCAAACAACATTAGATGTGTTTGAAAAGCATTAAAACCATTACAACAATAATATATGTTTTAGAAGAGGTATTTTTAGATATTACTAAAAAAATAAAAGAAAACATGATTTCATTATTCATTTTCACTATTTGAAATACTATTCACATACTTACAGTACCACTATTCACGCACTCACAAATCACTACTCATTTTATTATTCATATCATTTTTTAGCATTTTAGTCCTTAATTTTTTTTTAATTTTAAACTTTAATTGTATTGTATTGTGATTTGATTTTATTTGGTTCTAGTACTTTCTTTTAATTATTTTTATTACTTAAAATTTACTACTTTAATTTTTTTTTAATATAGTCATAAGTTATTAATATTATGATCATATTATAATAATATTATTTTTTTACACTAAGCATTTACTATTTATTTATTTATTTTTGAATTAAATGATTAAAATAATGTTTTCGCTTAACCATTCAATGATTCAAATTAATATAATTTTTTATTTTAATATTATTCATTCTTTTATAAATAAATATATAAAAATTAAATTCATATTTTTTTCAAAAACTGATATTCTCATTGACATTAAATAAAAAAAATTATTTGTTCAATTC